ACGACGGTGAGTCAGTGCACGACCTCGCACGACGAGAGCCGCCGCATGCAAAATCGACGCGGGCAGCCTCCATCGGGGCCTCTGCCGCCGCTGCGGCGCACGCCTCGCCCGCGCCACGGAGGCAACCCGCCGACGGCGTCTCAGTAAGTTCCGAGGCGTTGCCAGCAAAAATGGCTCGCAGAACGTTGAGTACAGGAATCACGCAGAGGCCGGCGCCGCACAGTGTCTTGTAGATCAGCCCGACGGGGTCGCCCTTTTGGGTGAAGTCGCGCCCACGATCGGCGCTACTGCCGCGGCAACGACCACCAGCATCGTGAAAGCTGTAAATGCCGCCGCTAGTGCTGCCTAACGGGGACCCTGTTGTTCCGTTGACGCCGCTGCCTTTGCCAGGGGAACGGCGCTGGGCGCCCGGCGTGGCGCTGAGTCTGGCAAACGTGTCATCACTCACCAGCCCCACCGTTGTCATCCCGTGCGTGTGCGAGCTTGGCGTCGTTGGGCTCTCAGGCGACAGGAACACCACCACCGCCCCAGCGAGATGCAGCAGGGCCTCGTATCTATCCCTCACCTGCGCCTCCGCGATGGTGAAGGCGTACCCCTGCAGCGGCCTGCGTGGCTGCGGCGTCGCCAGGAGGAACTCGTCCAGGTCGTAAAAGGCCGGCAAGGGGGCCAGGTACTTTTCTACAGCGAAGCTTGCGGAGGCGGGGCGGGCCACGGTGGGGGCGGGAAACTGCAGCGGCATGAGCGCGCTATTTTCGGTAATGCGGTCCACGAGGGAGCAGACGTAGCTCGGCGTCGTCACGTGGTACTGGTGGGTCATCGCCAGAAGCACGTCGGGCGTCACCTCGTAGCCGTCGTGCGTGACGTAGAGAAAGCCAATGCAGTCGAGGCCCATGTGAAAGAAGGTCTCGCGTGCCGAGACGGGCTCCTGCAGAATCGCCGCCCCCAATCGCACCGCGGACCTCAGCAGTAAAATTTGCTCCCCCTCAGACAGCGCGGCGGAGGCCACTAAAACTAGCGTCGTGCTGAGCACGCGCGCGGTCACGCGCCTGCCAAAGAGGATGACGTCCTCGCCGTAGACGAAGCGGCCGTTGTCGCGGCCAATCAGCTCCCTGTTCACCAGCGTGCCGTGCTTGGAGCAGTCCGTCACGCTCACGTCCACCTCCGAGTTTGGCCCTAAGACGCCATGCGGCGGCATCGCCCGCACGGTGATGGTGGCGTGGTGCCGCGAGATGGACGGGTCACCGCTGGGCAGCGGCAGACGGCACCCCTTCCGCCCAACGGTGTACGTCTCGCCGGCGAGGAGGACGTGCCGCTGCACATCGTCGGGGCCGTACTTCAGCTCCAGTACCCGCATTGGGAGTGCCGAGTTTGCCGCGTCGTCCCTTCAAATAGTTGGCGCGAGCAGAAGAAAAGGGAAAACAGAAAACAAAACTAACGCTAACACCTTTCCGCCCAACTTTGCCTTTCCAAAGACGTTTGTTTGGGCTTGAACGTCTTTGTCTTTGTCTTTTCTGCGCAGCTCCTCAAACGCGCGTCCTCGCCGGCAGGTGCACAGAGAGAAAGAGAAGACGCGGCAGCAATGGCAGCGGCAGTGGTGCAGAGCGGGACAGTCGCGCGCAGGAGAAGGAGGGGGGGACGCAAGAAGCTTTACAGACCACACTACGGCACAAAGAGAGAATTGTGTATGTGTGTGTGTATGTGTTGCGCGGCAGGCGTCATATTTATAAGAGCCAAAGCTATGCTCTCCCCCAGCATGTATTTTTGTTCGTGCGTATGTGCGTGTGTGTGCGTGTGTAACGGGATTGCATGTGGGGCACAAGCGGTGCCGTTGCCGGGGGTACTCACGGACACATGCAGAGAAACAGAGAGAGAGAGAGAGAAACAGGCAGCATGTTCAGGCCTAGAGTAGATTCATTGCTGCAAGCTCCTCCACCGTGGGCCGGCCCATGAGTTCATGCACGTACTGTACTTTGTGCATGTACTCCATGGACTGCAGGAAGATCATCTCAAATGTCATGCGCTGCAACGCCAAGTCCGCCATGTGCTTCGTGAACTCATCCACCTCATCCCGCGTCTCCACCGAGAGTAGTTCCCACAGCAGCTGACGAACGAAAAAGGCCTTCTTTTCCTTGCTCTCATACGGCTGCCAACCAAAGTAGGCCTTGATGCGCTGCAGACGCAGGGCATCGTACATGCGTTCCCCGTTGCTCCTGCCCCAACACTTCTGCGTGAAGTTCGTCATCATTCCCGCTGAGACCGGCGGGAACAGCTGCGTGACAAGGCGTGAAATGCGCAGCTTCCACATCCGTTCCCCGCTGTACCAAAACCCAAACGGGCTACGTCCCTGCAGGACGTGTGACAAGGCCTGATGCGGGGGCTGCGTCAGGAAGAACAGGAGCGCCTCCAGCTCCGCGCGCCGTATCGCGTCGTCCATGACGTGCAGGTGATCCCACGTCGTGTGCCGGGTGGCGTAGCGGTGGACGCTGGGCGCCGTCAGCAGGCAGGAGCGCAGGGTTTCCTCCGCCGACCAGCTCCGGGCGTGGGCGGCGTAGAGAAAAAGAAAGTACTGCAGGTTGGTGTGGTCGCGATCGCCAATGTGCACGCCCATCGTCGCGCCCAGCGGCTCCTGGCACAGGTGGCACCACCCGGTCTTGAGGTCCAGCCAGGCCTGCTTGTTGCTGCCCTCGAAGATGTCGAACGATCGCCCGGTCATGGGCGTCGACGACTCCGGCGAGGTGCCACGTGTGCCCAGGCGGCAGTGCGCATCCAACGCGCCCACGCGCCGCCCCGGCGCCGGGGCCGTGCTGAGGGTTGCGCCCCCCACCAGCTCTCGCAGCGGCGCGGCGGACCTCGCCTTGCCCGCCGTGCTGACGAGCGCCAGCTTTGGGGCCAGCAGGAGAGCCAGTCGCCCGCAGCGCATGGGCGTGAGGACGCGGAGGGGGGACCCAATCGCGGACCTGTCCACGCACCAGCCCATCATCGGCAGAGGAAGAGAAAAAAAAAGAACAAAAAAAGAAGAAACAGAGGAAGAGCAAAAGAGGAATACGCGCAAACACACCGGCGGCGCTGATAAAATATTATAACTGCACGCATGGGCAGCCGCTGGCCTCCCCGGCGTGCGTCCCCGCAGCGAAGTATGCGTGTGCGTAGGTATGAGTATATATATATGTGTGTGTGTGTGTGGGTGTAGTTATTTGTGGTGGGCATTGCTGGACGGGCCTCCCTTTTTTCTTTTTTTCTTTTTTTGCGACCCACTTCCCCCCACCACCGCCAGCGCGGCTGCTACTTCGTCTTCTTCGGCTGCGTGTGCGGGGAAGCGGAGCGGGCGGCCCTTGCAGACGCCGCCACGAGGCGCGTGTACGCCTCCCACCCCCACCAGCACGGGACGATAAGGTACAAAACACAGCCAAAGGCGACGGCAAACCAAAAGTACACGAGGTAGTGCGGCGTGAACTCCAAGTCGCGGTCGACGTCGAGGTGCGGCATGCCGCTGATCAGCTCCTGTCCAAGGTACACCACCGTGCCGTACGCCTGCGTCACGCAGGAGAAGAACTCCAGGGCGTCACGGTGGGGGCTGCGGGTTTGGTAGGCCCTGTACAGCAGGATGCAGAGCGGCCCCTTCACGCACAGCTCCAGGAGGGAAACGACGTGCACCGCCGACCCCTCAAAGCTGCCCAGCCTTGCGCCGTACCGCTTGTCAATCTTCGCGTAGCTGCTGGCAAGCAGCGTGCTCGCCTTGAAGACCCCCACGAGGCCGTCCATGAGGATGTGAATCACCACGCCGTTGAGGAGGTACCAGCGGGCCCGCAGCCGCTCGGAGAAGGTGGACAATGGCGGGGAGCCGCGCCTCCAGCGGGCAACCCGCGCCTCGGCGACGACGAGGAGGAGCAGCGCGGCGGCAAACAACATCGCCGGCTCCGTCAAGTACCCAACGACGTCCGCGTACGCGAGGCGCTCGCGATCCACGATGAGCGGCGCGGCGATGCACCCGACGCAGAAGCACACAAACGGGTCCACAAAGACCTCCAAAAACATCGCGCCGGTAATGAAACAACGACAATCAGACTACGTCCCCTTTACACCGCAAAAAAAAAAAATAATAAAAATAAAAAAGGGGTCAGAGAAGAGCAAAGAAAAATAAAACAAGAACAAAAACAAAAACAAAAAGCGAGAGAGTCGGAGAAAGAGTTTTTGTGGATGTGTGGTGCAAAAAAAGACCCCAAATGAGGGGCATCGGGACGGCTCCCCTGCGGGGGAAAGAGGAAGTGCCGTAATGTACGGTTAAGGCAGAAAGGGGAGATTGTGCAATTCTCCCCTGCGCACACACACACACACACACACAGAGAGAGAGAGACATAGCGTTACATGTGTGCAGGTACGGTAAGGGCATGTCGGCATGTGAGTATAGCCGTTCCATCGCCTCCCGCACAGTGCCGACAAAAGAAGGGCACTGCGAGGAAGCTAAACATGCGTATGTACATAACTGTCACTCT